AATTTACATTAATTTCCATGTTTGATTTTTGACAAAATTTAACGGATCTTATGAAATCGGCACATTTAGCGAAATATGAATAAACGAAGCTGTACTCTCTACTGAAGAACTCCTCTCTAAACGGCTTTATTGTCAAGAGTTCGGTCACAGACCGTCTTTAGCCAATTGAGTGAAATAAAAATTCAACGCTACAAATCAAGTGCAAAGCCTATAATTCTAGTGCTTCAGATACACAGGCACAATATTTCACACACACTCTCTATCGTAATAAAAGGTTGGTATTTTCTTGCTGTTTAAATAAGTAAACACTTCATCTCCAAAAACCCCTGGGTATAGATCATCCACTGAAATAAAGCAACAGAATATCTGAACATAATGGGTTGTACTTTTTTGTTGGTTTCTAATTGGCCAATAGATTTTAATGCGTCAGATTTCTATCGACATTCCGCCTTTTCTTGGTTCCGGTACACGCACGCACATATACTTTATGTGACAATGTCCTTGTGTTTAGAGGCATGTACAAGATATATTAATTAAGAATAAGGAGTGGAGAGGGTATGTGAGAAATGTAACTACACACATATATTAATAAAATTAGCTTTAATCTAAAACAAAAACCATTAAATACACCTTATATCAATCCAGCAACAACACCAGCATTCCAATATCTGTCTGTCTGCCTTTGTCAACAAAATTTTAACTGTACATTCATAAATCAAGTCGCATTTCGTATAATCAACTTTAAAATATACAAAAATACACTCTGCTATAAACAATGATTCCTCCACGTTTTCAATAAAAAATTAAACATTTTAGATATGCCTTTTTTCAGTTTTGATAATTATGCATTTTCTTTATATTTATTCAGTATATTTAGGGGACACGAACTCGAGTGTTAAACGACAAAATTCATTATCTATTTTCCAGTATATGCATAAAAAAACAAACATTCTATTCCCATTCTAAAATAATTTGAGTTTTAAAGTGTAATTATCGCAATGACAACGAGATTAAAAAACAAAAGAAAACAAACAAAAAACAACAAAAAAAACAAAAACAAAAAACAAAAAACAAAAAAACTACGAAATGCACAATTTTGTTCGAAACGACCCCTCACATGTTCTTAGCCAATCAAAACGTTCTTTCCAATAACTGATGACGTCGAATCGGTGATGTTTTAAACATTACCTGCTCAGACCCTAGTTTAGTAATAGTTTATGTGGCAGGATTGACTTTTGATATAATGTGAATTGTGTTGTCTCTGTAATTGTCAAATCTCGTTTTTTAGTTTACGTCTACACTGTATCTTGTTCAGTAGTCGCGTGTATACTTAAGTCGTTAGTCTCGTTATTGCCCTTTTTCTGAATAGTGTCGTGTGGTCATTGGTCAGCTGAATTTTGTCTTACGTCACAGTCTTATGTCTTATTTTTATGGTTCTTTTGATTTCGCGGTTTTTTGTAAGTTCCGGTCATTGTTTGACTGACCGACAGATGGATTGGACGCTTTAGTAACTGTTACCGTGAAATACCTGCGAACCAGTAAAAATTTACCTTTACGACAGTCAAAAATCAAAATGTAGACGAACTTTGCGCCACACACACAAAGTTCATACTCTTTCGGTACATACAGTAAACTATGGTCAGAACCCTCAACAAGTTTCGTCTTTTTATTTGAACATGGCTTAACCAACCTGTAACATTTACATGTATCCGTTTCCTGTGAATTTTTTTCATGTGCACTACTAGCTACTAGAATGTATAGATTGGCTTACACTCAAATTTGGCCTTCAAACTTTTACTCATAGTTGTCCAATATTCGAGTACATACAACTTCCTGTGACCTATTTATGTTGGATAAGGTGTGCCAGTCTGTTCTAGCTCGTGTTATTGAGTATACACTACACATGTACATATGCAAGCTAGTTTTACGATGCAATAAGTCTGTTTTAATGTCTCGTTTGTTCAGAAGCTCTCGGTGAAAGGAAAAAGAATTGAGGTTGTGAAATTGATAATTTGATTCAAGGAATTTAGAGCACCACTATTTTTCATTATTTTACTAAAATCATATTCAACCATATACAATCTTAACCACTGTCTGTAAGTTTTAGTTACAAAAAATTATATACCGTTGACAACATGTCGGAAGTGGGGTTTTTTCAACGTGAAGGTAATGATTTGTAGCATAAATATTCTTCTGGAATTACGCTAAATTGATTTAGATTTGAAATTAAAAAGAGAGATGAAATACTTATTGTGATAATTATTTCCTGTACAGAAGTGATTAACATAAGTTATAGCTCAAAGGCAAGTGCCGGTATTTGGCACATTGGCATATATGTATACAGTAAAGATTGTGTTACACAGTTGTTATATATCGTTATAGACTATGCATGGTAAGAACTGATATTATTTCTATATCTTACCTTCATACCCTATTCTATGATACACTAGATGTGAATTTTCATCTGTTTGTGTACCCAGGTACACTTCTTACTCGGTACAAACATTTGAATATTCATATTATTGTGTACCATATCAAAGTGTACAATGGTAGACCTGAATTATGATAATCCATAGCATGCCAACCATCGTAGTATTCTCTAAGTTTCGCTAACTCTTCATCAAATCATATGTAAACCTCATTGAACATTTCATTTTATAATCTACTCTGCCTTTAGTTACAGGTAAATTCTTAGAACCGGGAATAAAATAACAATATCCTGCGGCATTTTATTTTTCTTCTTGATCTACCTGACTCTTGTCTGCATACAAGAGATAATTACCAAGTGATCAAACGTCTGGGCTATCAAGATTACCTTTCTGTTTATAATGGATCACATGGCCTCATTATTAACCAACGGATAAGGGCTTACTTCCTGCAGCAATGATGATTTATCGTATCAGTAATGAAAATACAAAGGCATTTATCACTACATATAGATAATTACAGCTGAGTCTCCCGTCATGCTCTCTTGTCGATCCCTCTCCACGATGTCTGTTGTTTGATACTTTTGTGAATAAATACCTTTACTATTCACATACAGACATGACAAATTTCGGATACGTACACAAGGAATCAATATATCAACATATGAACAGAAATTTAGACAGATAACCCACGCAAAAAATAATTTCAGCCATTAAAAATGGGGCGGAGATTCTTAGTCATCAATGATTAAAAGGAGTTCTGTTTGGCTTAGAACATGTGAAATACCTTTTCGAACAAAATTGTGTAGGTCTTCGTTTTAGTTGATTTTTGTTGATTTTACGATACTTACATCACCTTTAAACTAAAATCATTTAAGAATGGAGAAAATGTGTTTGTTTTATGCATATACTGGAGATTACATAATGAATTTTGTTCTATAAAACTCGAGTTCGCCTCGTGTTGAAACCAAAATTTATGATCTAATCTCCAGTACATGCATAAACATTATCATACTATCTCCTAATTCTAAAAAATGGTTATGTAATGCATAATCTTCATCATCTAATCCCCGATATACGTTATATTCTCACGTTAGCCCAAAGAAAGGCGGCCATGTTTTATGTTGGGGCAGATGGTCGACATCGACACGAGAGAAAATTATCAACGACACGCTCAAATGTGTCATCGGAATGTGAAGTGGAGAGTACCGTGATTGTAATTCTGTCCCATATTCCGAGTCAGTTTTCTCAGTGAGTTTACTCAATAATGTCAGTATGTCGATAAAGACGAGAATAGGTACAATAGGCCTGGATGAATCTCTCTTCATGACCTCTTAACCATTCAGAGATAGACACGGTGAATTTCTGTTATTTATACCCAGAATCAATATCAACAATAATTTAGACAGATAATCCACGCATAGACCTATATCTTGACCCGTATTTATTGACGACTTTAATGGAAAGTGGGCAGAGCTTCTACACTTTTCGTCACCGATGGTTGAAGAATCTTTTGGATTGTCTAAGAACATGTGAGGGACCGTTCGATCAAATCTGGGCAGGTCTTAAGTTCTATTGAATTTCGTTGATATAGTGATAAAAACATCACTTTTGTACTCAAATTATTTTAATCTAAATTTAATTTCATAAACATGTGGTATTTATTCAACAAAGTTGGCTATTGAAATTTTAGCTCACAACATTTGTAAAGTGTCTAAACTTCCCATAGGTTAATCTGACAGAGACAACATATCGATCTGGTAACACCTTGATGAACACTTATGATAAAAATATCAATCATTGTCTTCGAAATTGATCAAAGTGAAGATGATATTTAGTCGAGAAACAAACACTCAAGCCAAACTAAACAAAATTAACAGGACAAAAAGGACGACAACATGTAGCGATATGTTATTACAAAAACTGAAAGGATGTGACCCGAACGATGTGTTTGATATTCTTTAGTTTGTTTAATGGTTTTTTTGTCGCTATCACTTTTTCCAGTTTGAGAACATCGGTTGTGTTTTTCCGTGATCTATTATATTTCATAGTTCTCTGTGTTTTTTTTGTGTACTGTTATGTTTCATAGTTCTCTGTGTTTTTCGGTGTACTGTTATGTTTCATAATTCTCCGTATTTTTTTCCGTGTACTGTTATGTTTCATAGTTATCTGTGCTTTTCCGTTTACTGTCATGCTTCATAATTCTCCATATTTTTTTCCGTGCACTGTTAAGTTTCATAATTCTCTGTTTTTCTGTGTACCGTTGTTTCTTCGTTCTCCTTGTTAAGCAGTCCTTCTATGCTCTAATCTTATTTTCATTTAAGTCCTCACTTCGATTTTCTTTACTTTTCGAGGATTTCTTGTTGTAGGCCGATTTATTTCGAACACATACAGAGTTTACAATACAAAACAAACCACTGAGACCAGAAATTTTTGTGTAATTTATTGTAGTATATCAGAGGCTGACGTGTCATTGAGACGCTGATGAAAGTATATTGGCCTAACTATCGATACAGAATTCCTATTTCCTGTTACGAATGACATCTGTTTGCCAGGCGTTAGAATTTTGATTTGCTAACATGTATCAGCCAGTGGGACGTTGGTCATGTAGATGTGCATGGTAGACAAGTGCTCTTTGCGTATCAAACACTGAGGTACGGGATTTATAAAGCTCTGAAACCATGAATGGATACGTAATATACACTTCAAAACATAGTATATTCAATAAGAGAAGAAGAATGACAGCAAATATTAAGAAGAAATCGGAAATTGCTTGAGACCTCCTGTCATCCATGTATTCCAACGTTATGACTTTCTGCATCTAAAATATTACCCTCTTCCTCTAATATCTTTTATTCGGAAATATATGCAAACTGTATTAGTTTTTAATCAGGTATTTCAAGCCATCCATCAAATATATTATACGTTTATGACCGAATTGAATATATATCATATACCTTACAAGAAATATCAAGATTGCCGAAATGCTAAATTTGTCATGTGTCTTTAATGTAACCCATATTTTCGAGATCAAAACAAAACGGAAAAAAAGTTATTGTATAGTGTAAATAAATGGTGTTTGGAGTTACCTGAATGACGCTGCTGTCTGGATGTTCCATACGAGGTGAAGACATTGCGGTACCCATAGCCCAGCCAAATGCGTTAAGCTTTCCATTATTGTACAGCAGGAAAACAGGAAAGAAATCGTCACATGACATGTCGGCTCTGACGTTATACCAGTAATGCACACCTTTTAAAGACAGATTAATAACACATACGAGATAATCCTTTAAAATATCAATGGTTTTAAGTTATCAAGATTGCTTGTCATAATAAAATGCAAAGACGCGTACATTCTGGATTAGAAATACTTTATCACGATTTTCTATTTCCTCTAAACATTTTTGCACAAACGATTATATTTAAGTTTATTCTTAATCAATTTCATCTTGATGCACTAATTAAATCTTCTTAACCTTTCGTTTATTACATATTTTATACATTTTCTCAGCATGGCTTATGGTAGTCATGTTAAGTTATGATATATATATAGAGAGAGACTATGTTACAAAAATGTTCTTGGAATTGAGTAAAAAGCAGACCCATAGTGACAAAACAATGTCCTTTGGTCCACTTTGTTGTTCTAGTAACGTCCGTCTCGACCATTGGTATTTTTATTGAGTTGGCGACAGCGTCAGTGCCGTTTTGGATGTATAGAGAATCACCGGTACCTTCCTCGGCGTACTTGGCAGCTGTCCTTCCAGTGCTGCAAATGGTGGCTATAAGGCAATTTATGACCTATTAATTGTAAAGCATTTATTTTCCATGGTATACGTTGTACTGTTTTAATATTTGTTATTTCTAAGTGGTCTGCACGTGAAAGGAATCACCGGTATTGTCCGCGGCGAGCGGGATACCTAACCTTCCTTTGTTGTCTATATTGGTTATAATATAACTGGTGTTAATGCATCTGTGCTTTATGTGGTATGTTCTGTAAATGATTTTAAAATTACTGTAAATGGTTGTAATTACTATTGTTTCTTATGATCTCTGGAATTCGAAAAGTCCACCCAAACGTAAAACAAATTGTTGAAAGCTAAAGATACTTTGTACGTCGAAGATGCAGTTTTGATTGAATGATTTTTTTTTATTATATCACCGATGAATCATCAATACGTCATATATATTTTCTGAACCATGCCATCATCCAAATTGATTAAAACGTGACATACAAACTACTACAGTTACAATCATGTCCTGAAACTTATTGTCACATGTCACATGTCCTACCTTTACGGAAATATTCAGTCAACTCCCGCTTAATTGTTAACTCTGAAGCCTCTCCGCGATGTTCACTTTTTTATCAATAGATCTAAGGTATCGAGTTCCAAGTAGGCATGTAAGGGACCCTTGCAAGCATATGACTTTCGAAAGATACTACAAACACAGAACCCTTGAAACCTTTTCATAAGCTTAAGCCTACATCATGACCTCAAACTAACAACAACTCGTATTTTTAATGTCAGCGGGATTTCTAAGTCATCAATGTTAGTAAAAATAATATTACTGGCCAAGTGTACATGGAGGTTTGGAATGGGAGGACAGTTTCGAACAAAATGAATTGACAGTCAGTTGTTACAGCATGAAGAACCTGGCGTGTGATATGTGTTTCTGTTACTATCTCAGTGTTTACCTGGGTTGTGATCACTGTTTCTGTTACTTTCTCAGTGGTTACCTGGGTTGTGATAACTGTTTCTGTTACTATCTCAGTGTTTACCTGGGTTGTGATCACTGTTTCTGTTACTTTCTCAGTGGTTACCTGGGTTGTGATAACTGTTTCTGTTACTATCTCAATGTTTACCTGGGTTGTGATAAGTGTTTCTGTTACTATCTCAGTGTTTACCTGGGTTGTGATCACTGTTTCTGTTACTATCTCAATGTTTACCTGGGTTGTGATAAGTGTTTCTGTTACTATCTCAGTGGTTACCTGGGTTGTGATAACTGTTTCTGTTACTATCTCAGTGTTTACCTGGGTTGTGATAAATGTTTCTGTTACTATCTCAGTGGTTACCTGGGTTGTGATAAGTGTTTCTGTTACTATCTCAGTGTTTACCTGGGTTGTGATAAGTGTTTCTGTTACTATCTCAGTGTTTACCTGGGTTGTGATAAATGTTTCTGTTACTAGCTCAGTGTTTACCTGGGTTGTGATCACTGTTTCTGTTAATATCTCCGTGGTTACCTGGGTTGTGATAAGTGTTTCTGTTACTATCTCAGTGTTTACCTGGGTTGTGATAAATGTTTCTGTTACTATCTCAGTGGTTACCTCGGTTGTGATAACTGTTTCTGTTACTAGCTCAGTGTTTACCTGGGTTGTGATAACTGTTTCTGTTACCATCTCAGTGTCTGTTTCTGTTACTATCTCAGTGTTTACCTGGGTTGTGATAAATGTTTCTGTTACTATCTCAGTGTTACCTGGGTTGTGATAAGTGTTTCTGTTACTATCTCAGTGTTTACCTGGGTTGTGATAACTGTTTCTGTTACTATCTCAGTGTTTACCTGGGTTGTGATAAGTGTTTCTGTTACTATCTCAGTGTTTACCTGGGTTGTGATAACTGTTTCTGTTACTATCTCAGTGTTTACCTGGGTTGTGATAACTGTTTCTGTTACTATCTCAGTGGTTACCTGGGTTGTGATAACGTTTTCTGTTACTATCTCAATGTTTACCTGGGTTGTGATAAGTGTTTCTGTTACTATCTCAGTGGTTACCTCGGTTGTGATAACTGTTTCTGTTACTAGCTCAGTGTTTACCTGGGTTGTGATCACTGTTTCTGTTAATATCTCCGTGGTTACCTGGGTTGTGATAAGTGTTTCTGTTACTATCTCAGTGTTTACCTGGGTTGTGATAAGTGTTTCTGTTACTATCTCAGTGTTTACCTGGGTTGTGATAAATGTTTCTGTTACTATCTCAGTGGTTACCTGGGTTGTGATAACTGTTTCTGTTACTATCTCAGTGTTTACCTGGGTTGTGATCACTGTTTCTGTTACTATCTCAGTGTTTACCTGGGTTGTGATAAGTGTTTCTGAGTGTTTACCTATTGTGATCACTGTTTCTGTTACTATCTCAGTGTTTACCTGGGTTGTGATCACTGTTTCTGTTACTATCTCAGTGGTTACCTAGGTTGTGATAACTGTTTCTGTTACTATCTCAGTGGTTACATGGATTGTGATCACTGTTTCTGTTACTATCTCAGTGTTTACCTGGGTTGTGATCACTGTTTCTGTTACTATCTCAGTGTTTACCTGGGTTGTGATAAATGTTTCTGTTACTATCTCAGTGTTTACCTGGGTTGTGATCACTGTTTCTGTTACTATCTCAGTGTTTACCTGGGTTGTGATAAATGTTTCTGTTACTATCTCAGTGGTTACCTGGGTTGTGATAAGTGTTTCTGTTACTATCTCAGTGTTTACCTCGGTTGTGATCACTGTTTCTGTTACTATCTCAGTGTTTACCTGGGTTGTGATCACTGTTTCTGTTACTATCTCAGTGTTTACCTGGGTTGTGATCACTGTTTCTGTTACTATCTCAGTGTTTACCTGGGTTGTGATATGTGTTTCTGTTACTATCTCAGTGTTTACCTGGGTTGTGATAACTGTTTCTGTTACCATCTCAGTGTTTACCTGGGTTGTGATAAGTGTTTCTGTTACTATCTCAGTGGTTACCAGGGTTGTGATCACTGTTTCTGTTACTATCTCAGTGTTTACCTGGGTTGTGATCACTGTTTCTGTTACTATCTCAGTGGTTACCTGAGTTGTGATCACTGTTTCTGTTACTATCTCAGTGTTTACCTGGGTTGTGTTAAGTGTTTCTGTTACTATCTCAGTGGTTACCTGGGTTGTGATAAGTGTTTCTGTTACTATCTCAGTGTTTACCTGGGTTGTGATAACTGTTTCTGTTACTATCTCAGTGTTTACCTGGGTTGTGATGTGTTTCTGTTACTATCTCAGTGTTTACCTAGGTTGTGATCACTGTTTCTGTTACTATAATTCTATCTCGGTGTTTACCTGGATTGGTAAAATAGGCAGTCACGAAGTACATGTTAGCTATCGGCACAAATGGGTGGTTGATCTGGTTTACGGGAGGGAAGCCAGCACTGCCGTTTTTAGGTACCTGTAATGAAAGCATATTCGTTTGATACCTATTTCTTCCTGTAATGAAAATTTCAGATTGTGCTGAAGTGTACAAATAATGGGGTACATTTTGCTATTTAATTCCTTTTGAAATAGACTCGGTGCATATAAGCCACCAGCGGCACTCTAACGGGGAAATGTGTTGAATTGGTTATCGGATCTTCCAACAGAGTACTGATATACCTATTCAACGTATGGTGTCATCATGCGAAGCCAGGATGAATTTACTACAAATCTTCTCAATACCGACCTTGCCAAGTACTCGACTTAGGATAACTTGTGATGCCATTTTTTTGCAATATGTTGATGGTGTTATTGTCGACCATATCCAAAACGTGCCGTACTCACTCCTATCTGGATCCCAGCGATGTATCCTTTCCTGTCGTACAATAGGACCAGGGCATAATCTCTTCCCTTTACATATCTGTTTCCTTGTATACCCGCATCTTCAATAATAAAAAAAAATTCAATGATCTAGTTTAGAAATAAGTAAACAATATGAAATAAATAAATTTATGAATAAATAAATAAATGAAAAATCCCATGTTAACAACAAAAAAATTAATGATAAATAAATAAGCACAACCTTAGTTCAGTTTACCAAATGTAAAACTGGAGTAAAATTAATTTCTACTAAAATTAACATTGATGCGACTAAAAAGTTGCGAATGGTATGTAACAAACCATGTATATTATGGTGAGAACCAGGTAGCATGGAACGCCGAAAGACGGACATAATATTTTGTTTCTTGATGATTATAACGTTGGACATACTAGCGGTACGTATTTTGTTTACAATCTGTCGCTAGGGATTATTGTACTTGTGTTACTATATAACAATCTGCCGCTATGCGATATTGTACTTATGTTGCTATGTTTACAATCTGTCGCTAGGGATGATTGTACTTGTGTTACTATATAACAATCTGTCGCTATGCGATATTGTACTTATGTTGCTATGTTTACAATCTGTCGCTAGGGATGATTGTACTTGTGTTACTATATAACAATCTGTCGCTATGCGATATTGTACTTATGTTGCTATGTTTGCAATCTGTTGCTATGGGTTATTGTACTGTTGTTGATGATCTTACCTCCACATTCCGACTCTTTCACGAACCCTTGGGCTGTTGCCTCCGCGACCGTTCTTGGCATTGCATTGAACGCGTTTTTACCCAACGGGTTGTAACTCCACGTCACTGTTGATATGGACAGAAAAGCAAATTATAAATATGGCAGTAATCTCACAGTGATGGTTGATTGTGTGATCAATTGCAGCGCACTTAATTTCACATAGGCTAGCGATGTTCAATTCCGCGATTTTTTGCACGTGAAAAGATATAGGGGTTATCTGCCCAACAGCGTTTTCCCCGAATACCTCAGTTTTCCCCAAGCATGCTTGTTTTAATCTGGGTCAGGATATTAGTTGTTATAATGTAGTTTGTGGTAAAAAGTTAGACATGTTGTTTCCACATGTATAACAACGAGTAGAAACCAGTAACAGGTATACATGTATACAATTTATCAATAAAAAGCAAATACTACATACAAGACGCGTTATGAGGAAAGCATATAAGTAAGCGGTATAGAAAGTAGTGGTGATAGTATAGAAGAATGTAGTCATTCCGAATATGATTGTTGTGATATAACAAACATTACAGGAACATTATGGCGTTTGTTGTGATTGTTGAACGAGTTTAACAACAAGAGCAAAATATAACGTAAACGTCAACAAACAGCTTAAACAACATATACAGCAATATGATATAAATAACAATACAAAAATACCTAATAGAACCTGTCTGATACTGCCTTGTGACCATAATCCAAGCTCAAAATCAATCTAGCGCAATATATACACGGAATCTCCTGAAATATTACAATGATAATAAGACCAGGTGTTCCTGAAGAGTAAGCGTCTTTTGCTTCAGAGACGACAACCGCCATGTAAACCTTGTTCAATTCAAGGCGGTAAAATTATTAACAAATTGCTTATTCCAACGAGAAATGGAAACAGATTTATTTACATTCCTTCAGATAAATCTAAGGCATAATATGAATATATGTTTGGACTAGAGCATTTGTTTGCGGCATCAAAGTAATTCTAAACACATTTACGTAAACATTTTGACTTTTATAATACTTACCTCTGAGGTTGTTCCAATCGGGATCTGAAATTCACAAATTGAGATATCCAAATATACAAATATAATTCGACCATAAAAACATATCTTTTATTTATTCAAGTAAAGGATATGCCATAGAATAAAACAGAAAGAAACTAAACTGAAACATGTCGAACTCGAAAGCCCTACTTTTAAGTGCTTACCACCAAGAGGTTCCAACTCCTGCTTCCAGCATATGATTTCCTAACAGTACATATGTTTTTAAAATCTTTTATCAATTTCTTGTATTAAATGCAAATATAGAGATTATTATTTATATCCATACGTGCATCGAAGTGTATTTACAATGGTGGTTACTGCAGAACAATATGTAGTTATTTCGATGTTAACACACTTCCATGCACTTATAAAATTGGCGAAAGTAAAATATCTCATTACTTATTAGACCAGCACAGGATACATGGTTGGCATTCATAGCCGCTTAAAAGCTCTAGTGCTTTGTTTTATATTCACTTGTGTGATCAATCTTAAAATAAGATATTTTTTCACAAGAATTTGCATTGTTATTCACAATTTGAAACACATTATGTCTCTGGTTTTTTTTTTTTTTTACAACGACCTGCGCCCGAGCACCAACTTCAAAACAAGTAAAGACTAGCTCTGTAAAGTCTTCCTGAACTCAATACCTTAAAAGTAGTAAATAATCAAATTCCAAAAGATTACATTGGAATTCATACTAAAAAACGTCTTCATATTTCAATTTCTACTCAACTTGAACTCTATAAAACTAGCAAATTTAGCCTGTTTCATCTGTCCATGAATTTGACCACATGAATATTGATCAGGTCATATGAATACATCCTTTACAGATTCTGCTATTGGGAAGAACACTTACACATGTTTGATGCGGAACTTTAGGTAAAATAATAAAAATTTCCTCCAGAATAGCAGAATATAAATAAAGATAAATGATAAGTATAACAATTATTATCAAAATATGACAATATGGTAATTTTTCGCAAAACAGATTTGTTTTCCGTGCTTTGATAGCTGCTTGAGACGTTGTAAGTTATGTCGTCTGCTACTCATTTTTTAAGCTTCCACTGCCTGAAAGTGAAAATATCCAATAAGACCAAGAACATTCACTGAGCGACTTTGATACAGAACTACTTCCTGACTACGTTTTTATGCTATGGATACATAGGCTACTGAAAAAGATGGCAAATCACACTTCATTTAAGATTTTAAAATGGCTGCGCACTGTTCGAGGTGAAGTGGGAGATGCTATTGTTCCGCGTAGCTGTCGGTTTCTAAAATTGACAAAATCAATTATTGCAATTTCATTATGTAGCTACTTCTTTTTACAGTGTATCGCATACTCGTATTTTGGCCGAGTGATACTGTTTGATCATACTCTAATTTAAAATGTCGGACTAAATTGTTTGACGCACAAGTTCTAGTAACTGCACCAATGAATTTGTTCAAAATATTAAGAACAAATCTTCTTAACTGAAATATAAGCATCGGATCTTGCTTTCATCGATTTCGGGGTAATGAATTGAATTGCGCTTGAGACAAGTTACAGTTCATTAAATTTGTCTAAAGAGCAACCCGATTCTTCACCCCATAAATCCCCTAAAGGAAGATTTAATGCTTGAATAAAGTATGACTACTTACCTCCAAAGAAAAAGGCATTGCCTGTGGCAAAAACACTGATCAAGGCGAAAATTACCAGCGATGTCATCATTCAACAGCAGTGAAAATCTAGTATGACAACGCCACGTTAAACCAGACTTTATAGGACAGCTATCAGAAGCACATTCTTCTAGACTGACTAAAATATTAGAAACGCAAAATTGTTTCTGACTTGACCTTAAGTTCTAGTTTTCTGCGTTCAAATAGCCACACTGTGTATCAATACCAATACTCCGATGTCTGCCTTTACATATGAAATCTTTAAACATATGCTTGTCCGTATTTCTGCTTGATATTGCATTTTTGTCCTAATAGAACACAATAATTACCATGGCAAACATTCAAGAAAAAATGTCTTTTCTCATTTCCGAGATGAAAACGGCCAAACAATATGCAATATCCATAACCCTAACTCTAACCCATATAATGTTTCTGACACAAGGTACATACAATAGAAATGCTGACGCTGTCATTTTTTATTTGTTATTTGACTAAAATTTCGTTTTATCTTACTGCTTTAGTCCTCTTCGGGCAGGTTTTTATTTAGAATTCTTTTGTCGATTTGATTACAAAGCAGAAGAAACAAAGAGGTATGTTCGAGACAGAGTCATAGCAACCAACTCTGAATCACACACAAGAAACTCTTCAATCAAAACAAAACACGCATTGTTTTGAGAACATTCTAATAATTTAATCAACAAAATCTTTTATGGAAAAATATGGCAATTCCAATATGAAATATGGGTGGTAAAAATTCAAAAGAGACCAATGAATATCTTTTCTGTCACGTTAAACAAACCGATGTAATGTAAATAGATATAAAATAAAATTACAACATGCACTTAACAATTTAAAAGCGTATGGTATGATCCATAATCATACAATATTCATAGAAGTCAGAATCATACAATATTCATAGGAGTCACAATCATACAATATTCATAGGAGTCACAATCATACAATATTCATAGAAGTCACAATCATACAATATTCATAGAAGTCAGAATCATACAATATTCATAAGAGTCAGAATCATACAATATTTATAGAAGTCAGAATCATACAATATTCATAGGAGTCACAATCATACAATATTCATAGGAGTCACAATCATACAATATTCATAGGAGTCACAATCATACAATATTCATAGGAGTCACAATCATACAATATTCATAGGAGTCACAATCATACAATATTCATAGGAGTCACAATCATACAATATTCATAGAAGTCACAATCATACAATATTCATAGGAGTCACAATCATACAATATTCATAGGAGTCACAATCATACAATATTTATAGAAGTCAGAATCATACAATATTCATAGGAGTCAGAATCATTTAATATTCATATGAGTCACAATCATTCGATATTCTTGTTCAATAATACAAACTTTAGTTTAAAAAATAATAAGAAAAATGAAAAAAGAAAATGAAAGTCCTTTAATAATGTCAGTATATAATGATAATGAGTACATCATTGATTAGATATAAAGACAGCCTACACATTGATCATGTTCATCTTCAAAAAGGACTCGCGATTTTTCTTACTCACTAATGTCATTTTCATTTCCTATCGACATGATTTAATGACAGAGTTAATAACAACAGGACACAGTTTAACTAATCGTAATACAAATTCAACATGGATGAAATGAGAGATAAAACATGTTCATGTGGATATCACTGAAAACTACGACGTGAATAGGACCAGATGTTCTGAAAGTGTTAGTGTCTTCTGCCTATCGACGACACACGTAAACTTTGGTCAATCAAATTATTCAATGTCACGTCCAACATAAGAGACAGCGTTATGGATTGTGCATAAACTACAATAGACAGGGTCACACCAGTATAATGTTGGGACGACAAAAACGTACATAAATGTTTACCTGTACATCAAAAAGAGACTTCACAAACATGTTATTATCAACCCATAATTTAAATGAATGAAATAAATAATATTTATTTTTAATCCTTTATTCATATTGTACTTTGGAGGCTTACATTTTGCAAAACGATGGACTTAACGATGACAAAAGCTGTCAAAACTGTACAGAAATTCATCTCTTTTCATATATAAATGAATAAGTGAAATTCTATTATTTGAATACAAAATACATATATGTACCTTTATTTTCCAGCTAATCACTTCACCGATAATCCTAGCACATGACCCTCGATTGGGAGCCTAGCAACCAAGATATGAATGATTGTTTACACACTGTTCTATCTCGTGGGTTCATGTAAATAAGGTGGTGTCCGTTTTAAAATGACGAAGTATTTTTTTGAAAATATGCCAAACGTAGTTTCGATTTCGTAACCGAGGGAAAAACCACCATGTTTTTCCGCTTAACAATTTATTATGTTTCACATTACATGTATGACATACATTATTTATATGGCTGTATATTGGATGTCGTTGCCAAATCACATCGTATGTTGTGATTATGTTTCTTAATATTTTATCTGTGGAAAAGTATCACCAACATGTCATTGACAGATACAAAGACCATCGGAAATACACTTCACATACTGTTCTGTGCTTCCTTTGTATTCTTGTAACTATGACTTGAAATATACATTTGTAGACTCCCGGTACCTCTAAAAAAATATTTCATTTGAAACATATATACATAAATATAGGCTAGCTAATCAAAGACCAAGCAAAAGAATATTTCAATGACCTGAGTTTTTTAGGCGCCTCATATCTATAGCCTTAAACAGGTAAAGTTAACTTTATGGGCAAAAATTATTAAATTATTTAAAATTTCAGCTTCCATCAAACTCATTATGCTCTTTCATATTTGAAATATACATTAACAATTTCATTTGGCTATTCCTACTTCAACGAACAAAGATTCTTGACGACTTAAACACAACATTTATATTTGTCAAAAAACTATTTTGTTATCATCAACGTTAAGAAAATATTAATTATTTTTTCTCTTAACAAGATTTAATTAACACACCTCCCAGAACGCCTTAATCATTCCAATGTATTTTCTTTAATTCTAAAGCATTATACATGCATGCACTCAATTATTTTATGTACATATGTATATAATGAGTAAATTAATAAAATATTCCCTGATGTGATAAGGACTAATAATGTATGTTAATTTCATAAATAATGCATATCAGATTATATAATTCCATTAATCAATTTCATATCAAACGTTATTATCAGCAGATTTATTCTCTCGAATAAATAACAGGACAAATGATTTTAAAACATATGAAGGAAATCGTGATTCGAAGTTTCAATACAGTGACATTTCAATTAGTTAAATATATATATATTTTAAATCAAAAGCACAGCAATAAGTAATAAATATTAAAATATCACCATTTTTTTTAAAATTACAACATTACCTTGCCAACGCCATTTTGACATACTGATCAGGTAACGACGCAATGAGTTAGATAATGTAGACAATATTTTATCTAAAACATACCTCTGAGGAAGATGTGGGATGAACCTTTTTCACTTTTAACCGAGTGCGATAGTGTAATGATGATATTGGATGAATTAGGTCGCAGTGCTTGCTATTGAACATTAAACGATGGGGGCTAATTACCACTCTCGAGATTAACAGCAGTGACCTCCACATTTGGCGTTATAAAGTAATTTGGAGATTTAATATTTTTTCATCTCGTTGCTGGTGATCTCAACCACAAGGAAATAATATGATGTTACCAAGCACTAGATCCAAGGGTTGCAATAATCCTATCTCAAATGTGTGAATCGTTATTTTTTTATTACCATTTTGAGCATCTACACGTGTAATGATGTTGTCAACTGAATGCTGACATTGTTGACATAACGTTATGGAAATGTTTTAGGATACTGTATAATTATTATAAGAGGGGAAGTACTGTCAACACCTAGATTATGACAGGGAAATCTCACCCAACAAAAAGCGTCTGTAGGCGTCCAGGGTGAGACAAAATGACGCCACAAATCTGCATTCTTTAGGATTTTACTAGCTGACAACTTGAAGTAAAAATCCGCATGGTGTTACTAGCTAAAACCCCATTTGTCAGCATTCTGACACCTAGTATACCTGTAAGGAGGTCGACAGCTTCGTGTAATCCAGCTTTTCAATAGCTTTTGCTATAAAATAAAAATATTTTCAAGACCAGAATAAACTGCTAACTTTGCACATGGGATAGGTAAAAATTGTGTAATATGACCAGGTGTCTCTTTGCTCGTTATTAGATATTTGTAAAAGCGTTGCAACGGTTTATCTAAATAAGTTATTTTAGTGATCTCTTTCCTCTGGGGGCCTATATGGTACTCCAAGTTTCTCTAGAACAGATTCCTCTGTAGGAGTTGGCACTGGTGTACCCTCGAATACTTTTTCCGATCCCTGAAAAATTACAAGTCATAATAAATTCAAGTTTAGAAATTACGTTGAGTAAACTACTACTTTGCTTTCATGTTATTTTTTTATTTATTTATTTTTCATTATGTTTACTTTGATGAGTTTTCATAACTTACATTCCTAACCACTCCAACGTTAAGAGAATGTTCCGACAAAGACATTCCTTTCTTCTTTGCTAGATGTCGCAATGAACGGTTGAAATGGGCAGATCCAGTGAAATATACCAAAGCGCATGCATATTCGTCGTAGGGAACAACAATGATGTCAAGTCGTCGATGCTAAAACCAACAATTTTAACATTTAAAATAATGTCTTCAGTTTATTTTACCAACATGTCTATACATCCCCCATGACTTAGACTTTTTCCTCAGGTAAACAACGCTACCTATGTAGACTCAACGAGGAGTTTACATATTACCATAGCTACCGTTCAATGTCCCCTGAAAGTTTACATGTCGAGTATAACCATTAACCATCTTTTCTAACATTTGCAGTTCATACTCTTCATGCTACAGTATTTATCCGTACTGTTAACAATTTTACTTTACGTTTACAAACCTATCCGTCTACTATCCCACAAGTTACCGTACTTGTTTCTACAATTTTACTTTACGTTTACAAACCTATCCGTCTACTATCCCACAAGTTTCCGTACTTATCCTTTCTGTTTCTACAGTTTTACTATACGTTTACAAACCTATTCGTCTACTATCCCACAGATTACCGTACTTATCCTTTCTGTTTCTACAATTTTACTTTACGTTTACAAATGTATCCGTCTACTATCCCACATATTACCGTAATTATCCTTTCTGTTTCTACAATTTTACTTCTCGTTTACAAACCTATCCGTCTACTATTCCACATATTACCGTACTCATCCTTTCTGTTTCTACAATTTTACTTCTCGTTTACAAACCTATCCGTCTACTATTCCACATATTACCTTTCTGTTTCTATTTTACTATACTTTCTGTTTCTACAGTTTTACTTATCCTTTCTGTTTCTAGAATTTTACTTTACGTTTACAAATGTATCCGTCTACTATCCCACATATTACCGTACTTATCCTTTCTGTTTCTACAATTTTACTTCTCGTTTACAAACCTATCCGTCTACTATTCCACATATTACCGTACTCATCCTTTCTGTTTCTACAGTTTTACTTCTCGTTTACAAACCTATCCGTCTACTATCCCACAAGTTACCGTACTTATCCTTTCTGTTTCTACAGTTTTACTTCTCGTTTACAAACCTATTCGTCTACTATCCCACAAGTTACCGTACTTACCCGTCTATTCTCCCCTGGCAGTTTACATACTCCTAGGTACTTCTTTTGATTTCCGTCATCCTCAGATGTCACAAGATCATCTGTGAGAAAACCTAAAACAAACATGATTTACTTCAATATCTAGAGTGTATTAATCTTGTTATTTTATTATTCAGCTTGTATGAGGCTAGGGAAAGGTTGTAAAAAAATAAGCAAAGTGCACATTTGAATAAAAATTATGATTAAGTAGATTGGAGCGAAATATTTAATTAAACTTCATCATATAGCTGTTAACGTCCTTCGCAGATTCGTCAGTGAAAGCTATTCTACAGTAAACGTGTTATCTCCCCTCTACCAATACTAACTTGTTGAAAGCGTCTAAGGAACTAAACTGATATATTGATATCTAATAGTGAGAAATATGCTGCTGAAGATCTCACACTTTCCTACTCGTGTGTTGTGTAACATTTTTGAGTGATATATAAAAGTCTGTGAAGTATAAAATGTGTACATTTAACATTTTATTCGATGTCGAATGCGGACTATGATATAGATTTAAAAAAAAACGTATTGTACGATAAACATTTTTTCATTTATCCTCTTGGCTGAGACTTTGAAGTCGAAGTTTTCAGATCGATATAAACGTCCTTGATAAGTTGTCTCTTATTCAATTAGCTTTGTTCGTGTATTGCTTCAGCAGACAAATACTGCTTTAGCAGACATGCGTTTTTTTTCAGAAGCAGACATGTAATGTTTCAACAAAACTGTATTAGTTCAGAAGAAGATATGTACTGTTTCAACTGTACTACTTCAGAAGCAGAAATGTCTTACTGTTGCAACAGACATGCATTACTTAGGCTGAAATGCACTGCTTTAGCAGACATGTATCACTTCATAAGACATGTATTTCTTCAGAAGCAGACAAGTATTGCTTCAACAGACATGTAATACATCAGTAGACATGTATTATTTCAGAAGACATGTATTACTCGAAAAGACATGTATTACTTCAGAAGACATGTGTTACTTCAGAAGACATATATTACTTCAGAAGAAGACATGTATTACTTCAGAAGACATGTATTACTTCAGAAGACATGTATTACTTCAGAAGACATGTATTACTTCAGAAGACATGTATTACTTCAGAAGACATGTATTACTTCAGAAGACATGTATTACTTTTGAAGACATGTATTACTTTAGAAGACATGAATTACTTCAGAAAACATGTATTACTTCAGAAGACATGTATTACTTCAGAAGACATGTATTACTTCAGAAGAAGACATGTATTACTTCAGAAGACATGTATTACTTCAGAAGAAGACATGTATTCCTTCAGAAGACATGTATTACTTTAGAAGACATGTATTACTTCAGAAGACATGTGTTACTTCAGAAGACATATATTACTTCAGAAGAAGACATGTATTACTTCAGAAGACATGTATTACTTCAGAAGAAGACATGTATTACTTCAGAAGACATGTATTACTTCAGAAGACATGTATTACTTCAGAAGAAGCCATGTATTACTTCACCAGAAGACATGTATTACTTCAGAAGATATGTATTACTTCAGAAGATATGTATTACTTCAGAGGAAGACATGTATTACTTCAGAAGAAGACATGTATTACTTCAGAAGAAGACATGTATTACTTCAGAAGACATGTATTACTTCAGAAGACATGTATTACTTCAGAGGAAGTCATGTATTACTTCACCAGAAGACATGTATTACTTCAGAAGACATGAATTACTTCAGAAGATATGTATTACTTCAGAAGACATGTATTACTTCAGAAGACATGTATTACTTCAGAAGAAGACTTCAGAAGAAGACATGTATTACTTCAGAAGAAGACATGTATTACTTCAGAAGACATGTATTACTTCAGAAGACATGTATTACTTCAGAAGACATGTATTACTTCAGAAGAAGACATGTATTACTTCACCAGAAGACATGTATTACTTCAGAAGAAGACATGTATTACTTCACCAGAAGACATGTATTACTTCAGAAGAAGACATGTATTACTTCAGAAGACATGTATTACTTCAGAAGACATGTATTACTTCAGAAGACATGTATTACTTCAGAAGAAGACAGACAGAAGAAGATATGTATTACTTCAGAAGATATGTATTACTTCAGAAGAAGACATGTATTACTTCAGAAGAAGACATGTATTACTTCAGAAGATATGTATTACATGTATTACTTCAGAAGAAGACATGTATTACTTCAGAAGATATGTATTACTTCAGAAGAAGACATGTATTACTTCAGAAGACATGTATTACTTCAGAAGACATGTATTACTTCAGAAGAAGACATGTATTACTTCAGAAGACATGTATTACTTCAGAAGAAGACATGTATTACTTCAGAAGACATGTATTACTTCAGAAGAAGACATGTATTACTTCAGAAGATATGTATTACTTCAGAAGAAGACATGTATTACTTCAGAAGAAGACATGTATTACTTCAGAAGACATGTATTACTTCAGAAGAAGACATGTATTACTTCAGAAGAAGACATGTATTACTTCAGAAGAAGACATGTATTACTTCAGAAGAAGACATGTATTACTTCAGAAGACATGTATTACTTCAGAAGAAGACATGTATTACTTCAGAAGAAGACATGTATTACTTCAGAAGACATGTATTACTTCAGAAGAAGACATGTATTACTTCAGAAGATATGTATTACTTCAGAAGAAGACATGTATTACTTCAGAAGAAGACATGTATTACTTCAGAAGAAGACATGTATTACTTCAGAAGAAGACATGTATTACTTCAGAAGACATGTATTACTTCAGAAGAAGACATGTATTACTTCAGAAGACATGTATTACTTCAGAAGACATGTATTACTTCAGAAGAAGACATGTATTACTTCAGAAGACATGTATTACTTCAGAAGAAGACATGTATTACTTCAGAAGACATGTATTACTTCAGAAGAAGACATGTATTACTTCAGAAGATATGTATTACTTCAGAAGAAGACATGTATTACTTCAGAAGAAGACATGTATTACTTCAGAAGACATGTATTACTTCAGAAGAAGACATGTATTACTTCAGAAGATATGTATTACTTCAGAAGAAGACATGTATTACTTCAGAAGAAGACATGTATTACTTCAGAAGAAGACATGTATTACTTCAGAAGAAGACATGTATTACTTCAGAAGACATGTATTACTTCAGAAGAAGACATGTATTACTTCAGAAGAAGACATGTATTACTTCAGAAGAAGACATGTATTACTTCAGAAGATATGTATTACTTCAGAAGAAGACATGTATTACTTCAGAAGAAGACATGTATTACTTCAGAAGATATGTATTACTTCAGAAGATATGTATTACTTCAGAAGAAGACATGTATTACTTCAGAAGATATGTATTACTTAGAAGAAGACATGTATTACTTCAGAAGACATGTATTACTTCAGAAGATATGTATTACTTCAGAAGACATGTATTACTTCAGAGGAAGTCATGTATTACTTCAGAAGAAGACATGTATTACTTCAGAAGATATGTATTACTTCAGAAGAAGACATGTATTACTTCAGAAGACATGTATTACTTCAGAAGAAGACATGTATTACTTCAGAAGAAGACATGTATTACTTCAGAAGATATGTATTACTTCAGAAGAAGACATGTATTACTTCAGAAGACATGTTTTACTTCAGAAGACATGTATTACTTCAGAAGATATGTATTATTTTTGAAGACATGTATTATTTCATCAGACATGTATTACTTAATCATCAGACATGTAGTTATTCAAGATGTGAGTTTGAATATATTCTATCATAATGCCGGGGACAACATAATTAGAAAACAACGAGTATATTTTTAATAATGGATATCAACCGTGTTATCCTTGGTAGGTCATCACATCATAACCGACAGCGACACTAAACCATATCAAGATAATTCCAAGTTTCCAAGTCTATGCTGTCCTTAGACCGATCCTCTTCCCTATAAAAAGTCTATCCTGTCCTAAGACCGATCCTCTTCCCTATAAAAAGTCTATTCTGTCCTAAGACCGATCCTCTTCCCTTATAAAACAAGTATATTCTGTCCTAAGACCGATCCTCTTCCCTTATAAAACAAGTATATTCTGTCCTAAGACCGATCCTCTTCCCTATAAAAAGTCTATTCTGTCCTAAGACCGATCTTCTTCCCTATGAAAAGGTCTATCCTGTCCTAAGACCGATCTTCTTCCCTATGAAAAGGTCTATCCTGTCCTAAGACCGATCCTCTTCCCTATAAAAAGTCTATCCTGTCCTAAGACCGATCCTCTTCCCTATAAAAAGTCTATCCTGTCCTAAGACCGATCCTCTTCCCTATAAAAAGTCTATCCTGTCCTAAGACCGATCCTCTTCCCTATAAAAAGTCTATCCTGTCCTATGACCGATCCTCTTCCCTATAAAAAGTCTATCCTGTCCTAAGACCGATCCTCTTCCCTATAAAAAGTCTATCCTGTCCTAAGACCGATCTTCTTCCCTATAAAAAAGTATATTCTGTCCTAAGACCGATCCTCTTCCCTATAAAAAGTCTATCCTGTCCTAAGACCGATCCTCTTCCCTATAAAAAGTCTATTCTGTCCTAAGACCGATCCTCTTCCCTATAAAAAGTCTATCCTATCCTAAGACCGATCCTCTTCCCTTATAAAACAAGTATATTCTGTCCTAAGACCGATCCTCTTCCCTATAAAAAGTCTATCCTGTCCTAAGACCGATCCTCTTCCCTATAAAAAGTCTATCTTGTCCGAAGACCGATCCTCTTCCCTATAAAAAGTCTATCCTGTCCTAAGACCGATCCTCTTCCCTATAAAAAAAGTCTATCCTGTCCTAAGACCGATCCTCTTCCCTATAAAAAGTCTATCCTGTCCTAAGACCGATCCTCTTCCCTATAAAAAAAGTCTATCCTGTCCTAAGACCGATCCTCTTCCCTATAAAAAGTCTATCTTGTCCTAAGACCGATCCTCTTCCCTATAAAAAAGTATAACTATTAAGACACCTTGCACTAATTGGCCTTCCCCTACCTTTCTCATGTATAGTTACAGAG